AGATTAAACTGGTATTATTCCTACAGGAATGAACAAGGTTCACCCTAAATACAATTGAATATCTTGCAAAAAAATTTTTGAAGTGACAAAAATAGCTCTTTGTATGCTTATAGGTGTGAATCCTATATGGATTGCCATTAAACAAAACAGGCATAAATATAAAATTCAAACATATAGAAAGGCAGGGCAATTCTACGAGTTGCTCTACCAAGCCAGCTGCTTATAAAATCTGGTGCAAGAGTTCCAAATATAGGCACAATCACAATGCCATAAAAATGGCACTGAGCATCTACGATGGGAGTTACGTATTCTTGTGTGGCTCATTGCTAGAGTTGCCGTAAAGGCAAGTGAAAACGGGCACTGTCCCTTGCCACCACAAATGGATGGTACCAGATTTTTCCCAAGAACTAAATGGTGGTAAAGGATTCTTATTTCTATTAATGGGTACATTTGTAGCACAAGGCTTTAGTATTTGCACCACTGCAAACAGAATTTACACACTTAGGGATGCAATGTATTAAACCACTCCTCCTATTTTCTGGTAATTATACTTGTGGAAAGTAATCAGTTGAACCACCATCAACACCATCCTCATCTAAAAGCACCAATCCAAGCAATAAGAAAATTAATCCTGTTTAGGTTTAGGTACCTCCTTTATAAGAATATTTATATATACATACACAAATATATTATTATAATACATAGCGTGACAGTTGTGAATAGAAGATAACGTGGAATGTGCAGAAGATACACAAATAAAGCTCCTCAGCTAGTTTCTTTGAAAACTCACCTAGAAGAGGAGGAGAAGAAAAAGATCTTACCAATGAAACAACTGGCAAACTGCTTACATTGTAGAAAAATACATCACATTCTGCTAAAACAATGCTTGGTTAAAAAAGGATGTGCTAAACAAGCAAGTCTGTGGTATATAGAATTCTGAGCCCAAATTACAAATAGAAAAAGGAAACAGAACGAAATACATAACAGTAGGGGAAGAACAGCAGCCAGAGCGGTGTTGATCCTGGTTTGATTCGATCAGAGGACAGAGGTGGCAATACGGTCTGCCACGTTAGGTTCTCCTCCTCCAATGGTGCATTTGCCTGTATTGTTTTGACATGCGGGAAGGAAGGAATTCCAATCAAAGCCCTTTCAGACCAAGTCCAAATTGATTTCACAGTTGGTCAGTCGGCATTCAGTGCTGTTGGCTGGCATCCCCTTGAACTGAAAAGGCAGCGGCGGTTCTCTCGTGGCCTGTTTTATGGCCCACGCTCAACAAAGCTGAGAGTTCAGAGATTTGGATGTTTAGCTTAGAAATTCACATTCTTTCTTCAAAAATCATTTTCTTAATCTCTTCTGTTTACATTTTACACAGAGAAATAAGCAAACCTTCCCCTGAGCCCCTCCCACCTTCATCCTGTTTACCATCCTGACTGAACACTATTCAATTCAATTTAAAAGTGACCAATCCATGCCAAGTAGCAGCATTAAGTTTTAATGCTTTGAAAAACAGATGGTTCCAGATAGAGATCTTTGCACGCACCCACTCATGCACACACACACTTTTCCATGCAAGTTCCAGAAAGCATACATTCCCCATAAAGACTTGTCTTTGTCCACTAGCAGGTAAGATGCTTTACCAACACACTCTACACATTGAGGCTTAAGGGTATTTCCACACGATGCAACTCTGGAAAATGTCCCACAAATCATAGAAATCTCTTGGAAGCCAGCTCTTTTTGTATCACACCCTTTCAACCCGGCTGGGATCATATGCATCTGTAAAATAGGAAGTGAGCATGACTGTTAGTACTAACAATTCATTACAATTATGTCTGTGTAGGACTTTGATTACAGAGGAATCACATATTCAGGACTCATTCTTACAACCAGCCTGCATTAAAATCCCATTTGACTGATATGTTCCATGGTCTAAAATAGCTCGACCTAAGGAAGGTAAATGCTGCAACAGGCCGTAGGCTTTGAAACCAGATTTATCAGACCGCCATAGCTCCCCATATTTTTCATGATCTACTGGGATATTAAATTTGTAATTCTGAGTAGGCCTCAGTTCAGAATAGCAAAAGAAATGCTGTTAGTGGCACCATCCTAGAAAAGTGATGGCTCACGTTAACTCTTTCTCTTGTACATATGGAGGGTGCTTCTACTATGTTTGGACTTCTTTAATTATGTTATTGCTATAAACTGCATCAAAAGAGAATGCAGAGAGTTGAGGGTGATTGATTTCTGTGGATCCCAAATGGTCACATGATAGTTTTTGTGGAAACATCATCAGTTAGTTGATAAAAGTGGCAAGCTTTGGAGATGTACAAGGTCAAGCACGTGGCTATGCCATTAACTCCCGAGTCTGCTCATTAGGGGCTACTGTGTTCAGCTTAGCTTGACTCCTGGTGACCACACAGAGAAGGCTCACCATTTACTTTATTTAATGGAAGGGGGTGTTTTCTTCATAAATATCTAACTAATTTCTATTAAGTTGTCTTGTCAGCTGGCATCAAAATGCAGCTGAATGTACAGCAAGAAATAAGACCCTGTGCATTTATTTGTGTGTGTGTGTGGTCAACTCCTTCCTTATCTCAGTAAATAATAAGAGCTTCCCAAGGAAAAAAATTGCCCATAAAGCCCATAAATCCAGTCAGTGTTCGCAAACTGAGTTTCAATAGACAAATTTGAAATATTTAAGGAAGAGACGGCTATTTTAAGCACATTCTACATGTTAATGCAGAAAGTCAGTAGTTAAATAAAGAGCTACCACATTTGAATTGCCAACAAAGCAGTCTTGTGTGCTAAACAGTCCAGCCTGAAATGCCTTTTTGAAAGGGAAAGCTTTTTTTTTTAATGACAAGAGAAATATGTCACTAGGAAAACTCCCTGAAATAACTCTGCTCTATGTAAGCAACTTTATACAATTTGGCTAATGAAGGGAATCTATTCTTATCGCTGGAGAATACCGTACACGCAGAATATTGCCCCTGATTCTGCTGCAAGAGAAAGGGAACCCGCTACAAGAAGTCACATCTGGTGAGTTCTTCTGGCATTTTCTCTCTAAAAAGTTCTCATCGTACATAAAGTAGGAGATTCCCCATGAAGTTAAGATGGGATGAATCAGTCAACTTTGGTCTCTTCTTTTCCCAGTGTTACGCTGGGTCCAACCCTTGGGGAAAAAAACGTGCAAAATTGCATGCATTTCCCTGTGAATTTCCTGCACTATACATCATCTTTGTTTTTATTTTTACTAATATAGATGACTTTGTGCAGACATTTACCTGATACCACATTTTGGTATGCATCGATAGACTAAAATGTAGCTGATTCTTTTTCAGCTGGGTAGAGATACTACTCAGCTATGCTGATCCAAGAGTATGACATACAAAATAGGAGGACAATTGTCTCTTTTCTCTGCCTCATTTTTTGGGGGCAAACATAATCACTTTGAATCTACTGAGCGAGACTGGGAAGGAATTCCTGTTAAATTCCAACAGATAAAGGGATGGAGGATGCAAAGTAAGGAAGAGATCGTATCTTCTTTAGCATATATTTGACTTGGCTGATCTAAAGCTATGATCACAGAGCACTGTTTTCTTGCTACAGCACACAGATTCTTTGCTTGAAATGTGGGAAGAGCTGTTTCAATAGCACTTATCCATTCAATATTTTGTGATTCATTGTCTTATCTATCTGTAGGGTTGCATAAATATTTAAACAGCAAGGTCAATGTTTTGAAGAACATTTAATACATCTGTGATTTCTAGGATCATGCATGGATAAGAAGAGGACCATTTCTTAAAATCCAGAAATGTTTGCAGTATTTATCTTGTCCTAGACAGATCTTCTGGATTTATAATATAACACAACACATGTACCAAATGTCCCAATGCTACCCATGGGCATTTCAAGTATGCTAGATTTAAGTCAGGGATGGGAGCCCTTAAGTGTCATTAAAAACACAGCCAATAGTCCAACGTCATTGGATGGACTCAAATTCCTGTGATTCAAATTATCCATCATTTCTTATGCTTATATATTTTATTTGTATTAGAGAGCTATTGTGAGCATGAAAAAAAAATTAAAACTGATACCAAAGCATTTTGTTGACTCAAAGTAAATATATGCTTTTATTCAACTACTAAGAAGTATCAGTAAAGAACTGTTAGTTATCATTTGCCTGCTGATAAGAGTAGCAGAACTGCAAAAGCACTTAAAGGATCTGGAGAATTCTTAAAACAATACACTGTAAATAGGCATAACCTCCACATTGTGGGTTTTCTGGAAGCCAACTGTCTCATTCTAAAATTATACCTACTTTTTATAGTTACCTTAGAAGTCACTCCTTAAAATTGTCTTTGAAACAGGGGCACCATTGGGGGAGAGAGGAAGAGCCACACCATATTTTAGATCATGTGATTATTCTTTACCTAACAGATTGTTAAGAGGCTGGAAAATTAATTAAAATACATGTCATTAAAGCATTCTGTTTCTGGGCACATCTTTGAAACTTGCTCTCAGTCTTCCCCTCCCGTTATTGGAATCTCTCACTTTTGTTCAAACCCCAAATGGAATATCTGTTTAATAGACAGCCGTCTTCTAAGGCAGTCCTCCCCAATCTGTTGTCTGCCAGGAATGTTAAGATTCCACCTCCCATCATCTCTATAGTATTTAGTCATCTCACTAGGAATGGTGGAAGATCAGATTAAAGTAATTCTTGAATGAAAGCTACATGTTATGTGTTATATACTAAATAAATAAAAGAACTAGGATAAATTAACTGTTTCCCCTCCTCAAAGGTAGTACGGAACCACTGATGGAATGACCAACATGAAATAAGCAACAGTAAGCAGAGACAGCATTAGGCTGATCCATTTGGAACTAGCGAAAGAATCTTCAGCTTTCGGGACACCTGCACAATTCATACAAGGGGAGTTTGGAGGCAGAAACATGCAAACCAAGAACCTGGTTTTTATGAAATCTTACATTCAGCAAGTGGGGTAACTGCTTTTACTTTGAATGAAGCGCCAGATGATACCCAAATATTTCTTCCTGTCTCTTCATTTCTTGAAACCATAATGGGTGAACAGTAGAGGCAAAACTAGGAAGTTACTTTTAATGCAGATCTGAGTTTAAAAAAGGACGACTGAGCATGCGGGAAGGAAGATAGCAAATTCCATCAGGATTACAGCATCTTCCACTCCAGGGTATTTATAATGGTATATACCTGTTCAAAAGAAAAAGAAAAGAAAAAAGCCCAAACCCAAAACAGCTGGTTTATCTGGTAGGGTACTGTCTCAACCACTGACTGATTATCTCCTTTTCTGTTTGCTTGCCAGAAATTAAATTGCAACTGCAGAATTCAGGCCTGAGACTGAAACAGGAAATTACAGTTTCTTTTTAAGACCCTTCTGGGAAAGTATCTCCCAACAACACGATGACCGTACAAACCCTGGAGAAATTTGTCTCTTACCTAAGCAAAACAAATCTCTTCCAGTTTTCTTCATGTTCCTGTTGTCCAAAAGTCCATTTTCAGCCAGTGAGATTATGCGCTTAGAAACTGAACTGCCATGGGACAGTTTGCGGGGAAATTCATTGCGGCCAAAGGAGGCATCGTTTCCTCTCTCTTCTGGTCCCTTGAGCTGTTTATCCTCATCTCCGTCCTCACCTGATTCGGCATTCTTTATACTTAGACGTCTCATACGAGAAACTGAATCAACTTCTTTCATCCTTACCAAACGATCCATGGCAGCTCGGCTTGAAGGAGAGGCAAGTTTGCCTTGCAAAGTCTCAATCACCTTTGAAGTGCTTCTAGGTCTCTTTTCTACATTCAGTGGAAGTGATTTTCTTTCAGCAAATGGAAGCACAACAGACTCAAGAGGGTGAGCATGGTCTTCTTGGTGTCTGCTGATATCATGATGATGCTGAAAATATTGTTCAGCTGTCAACATTTCTTCACCAGAACACTGGTCTTTAATAGATCCCAAGGAGATGTTCTCTCCAACGAAGGACCTTTTTGACAAGCCACATTTTTGTTTTCCTTCGTAAGAAGTCATGTTTGTTTCCATTCCCCCCCCCAGCATCTTTTCATTTGATAATTCAACACTCTGTGGCATGTTTTCAGAGCGAGAGTGTTCATCAGGAAGTGTTTCATTATCAGCTATTAGGGATTCCACAGCTACCTCTATGCCCAGGATCCTGGCTGCTCTGGCCTGAAGCGATTCATTTGGCGGAATCTCTGTGCAAGAATCAAGAGCGCCGGTGCCAGAGCCTTCACCATCATCAAGCCCAACAGATCTCAAATCTGGCTCAGAGTGCCCTTGATTCCTATTTGTTAAAGATAATTGCACTACAGATTCTGTTTCCACAGCAAGGATATTCCTGCCTGCTGCCCTTTTCAGCTTATCAAAGCCTACTACATTGTCCTTATAGTTTTCAGCACTTGCTTCCCTAAAATTGATGCTGTTGAATGGATTACTGCGCTTTTCATTGTCCAAGGGACCTGATACATTTGGTTTGATTGGATGCAGACTAACAGCCCGTTTAATAACCCTTCTCCCACCTTCCTGTTTTTTTTGTTTTGGAGCAACATATCCATTTTCTGCCTTAACTGCTTTATCCATTTCTTTTACCTGTGATCTAACATACACATGGTCACTAAATACAACCCTTGCATCTGAACTTTTAGAAACACTTACACTTTCAAATTTGCTTTTATCTGTACCCTGTTTAAACACAGAAGTGGCCGGTGTTACATTTAGTGACTGTGCATTGGATCTATGGTCCTGGCTTTTTTCATTGTCTCTACATGTTCCTCTCTCTGTCCTCCTTTCCTTCTCCTCCTCTTCTCTCTCTTGCTTGTTCTCAGTCTCTGTACCATCTTCATTATTTTCTTCTTGTTCTTGAAGCTCCTTATTAAAACTTTCTAGTTCACTTATTACATCCCAAGGACGTCGGCTAACAGGTTTCAAGAGAAACTGCCCAAAGAGCTCTTTACTACTACAAGGCGAATTCCTTTCTTCCTTATGGGCAAAACTGGGTTCCCTTTCCCGCCCAGGAAGGGCTGTGCCTGAAGCACAAGTCGCATTCTGGCCTGCCTTTGGGTTAAGTACTGAAGTCCTAGAACACTCAGTTTTGCTGGGCTTGTCAAGATGCCCCTGACCTTTCACAGGGGAAGTAACTTGTCTGCCTTTTCTGTCATCAGCAGGTAAAATGCTCAGGGTTGGTTCTATAGTAGATGACCCGTATCTTAACAAGTGGCCTGTGGTCAGTGTATTTGATTTCCTAGGTTGTGAGCCATGGAGAAGCTGCTGGATTTTGGGTTCTTCCATGAAACTAGTTTGCGTTTGCTGGTCCTTGTACTGATCGCCTGGCCATGAGCCAGAATACTGAAGCTCCCTGTGCTTTGCAGGCTGCCTGAATCTGAGATCATTCATTTGTTTGAACTCTGGTCTCCACAACTCTTGTTTTTGTAACTCGTTCTTATTGGTCATGTTTCCTGTAAGGGCTTGGAGCTCCAAATCAGTAGAGGAGGTACTTAGGAAACTTTGTTCCTGCAGAACCCCACTGGTATCAAGACCATTCTTCTCACTGGCTCCCTGTGTTACGTTGTTATTCCTATCGGTATCTGGCATGTTCAGTTCAGATTGAACTGGGATGGACACCAAGCAAAATATAGTTTCATGTGTTTTTTTCTTTGAACTCTTTTTGCCCTGGATCTCAGTTCCAGGTTCAAAGGTTTTCACTTTAGTCAGAGTCTCACAGGAGAGTTCCATATGTGGGCTTGGAGCAGATGGCCTGCCTTTTGGGTATTCACAGTTCAGATCATTGCCTACGTCATAAGAGTCTCTTTGGGTAGACAAGGCACAACTGTCCTGATCTACACTGGATTCTACCAACCATCTGCTGCTATATACAGAGCTACCAGAGACCTGGTTGCATTTTATAGCAGTATTTATTGAGTCTGGTAGATCCAAAAATGAATTATTGAACTCCTGTTCCACAGAACTCTTATGGAAGACATTAGAGTTGATCCTATTTGCATCCCCAACGTTGTCATCCTTCTGAAGGTCAGCTGGATGTGTTATTTTGATATGCCGTATTCGAGGGTCATCAAAAGGAATATACTGAACAGAAGACAGACAGTTCTCCCCATGTCTCAGATGTCTTTTACTGTTATACAAGATCTGCTCATTTTTATAGTGCTCATCTCCTGTTTGAAATTGATTAATAGAAGGCTGGGAACTAATAAAAATCCTCTGCTCTGGAACCTGCATATCATTATTAAAGCACATATCATATTCAGGCACTTCTTTGGGCACATGTTGATTCATACTTTGCTGACCAGGGGATTTATAACATGGAGGAGGTATGTACAACGGGGGTTCTAAGCTAGAGTCCTGAACTGGCTCATTAACTTTAGTTAAGTAGCAACCGGCTTTGTCTTTTTGCTGATCATCCTGCAGTGAACTGGTTTCCAGGGTTCCCCTTGTCTGTTGATGAAATTCATATGAAGGAGGCTTCAGTGGTCTGCCATACTTGGGCCTAGGTAAAGGAAGGAAGTGGGTTGCTGGTTCAGAGTGTTTCAAAGTTTCCAAGGCCAACCCAGGTGCCTTATGGTGTTTACTGCTGATTAAGGAAGGCATTTCAGCACAGTTAAAGCTCTCTGGTGAAAGAACTCTTGGGAAAGACTGTGATTTACTCTTAACATGGGAAGTAGCAACGTCCCGTCTTACTGAATACATATCCTGAAGCAGCCTTTCTTTATCTGTGTCAGGCACAAGTTCTCCAAATGCAGTTGGTTGGTTCCAGCTTTCTGTCTTTAAACTTTGCCACCTGTAATCACCAGGAGGTTTCCAGGTCTCCTGTGTGTTAGTTCTCATATTCTCTAATCCTCCTCCGATCTCCCACTGACTTTCTTTATCATGTCCAAACAAGGCACAAGGTGCAGCCATTCCTTTTGTTTCAGAGTCTGCTCTGTCAGGATAACCTAATAAACTAAAATCTTGGCCTTGTCTTCTCCAGTAGGCAAGATCTTTATCTGTCTTGGAGTGCGAAGACCAACTTAACTGTGATTGGTCATAAAGCCTGCAAAAGAAAGGAAGCACCAGTGAAGAGATTTTTTTAAAATGCTTTCTTTTATCCAGATCTAAGTTAGTAAAGAATCTGAACCATCTGGAATCATGAGACACTCAACTTATTTTCCTCACATTTCTGAAAAACAGAACTTTCCACAACAAACCACAGAGGAGTTCAGGTTGTGCCTATATTTTGTTATCAGTATGCCTCTCTTTCTTCAGCATATTGCATACATGATAGAAAACTGTATGTAACATTCTACTGCATACGTAGATGAAGAAAAGTTTCAGATAGGCTTTCTTAAAACGAGTAGAGTTACAATTGTGAACCTGCAACAGATTTTACAACAGAAATTCTTTTTAACCATAGAAATTCTTTTCAAGACAGCCTGCCAGCCAGCAAATTTCATCCTCCTTTGCAATCCTGTATGTTGTCAATCAGGGACATGCAAACATATCCAAACTTTCAGCAGTGGCAGAGACTGCTACCGAACTGAAGATGCACATTAAAAAAAGGTCAGAATAGTTTTGCAAAAGAAAAATGGAGGTGCTTGAGAAGGTACATATCTCTGGGATATCAAAAAGGGGCCAGAACCAGGCAGTTATATTCCCTTAACTATAATGTATTTTTCAGTGTATGCAGTTAAATGCTTAGTTATTATTCATCAGCTTGACCTTCCAATGGCCTCTGAGAAAATATTAGTTTTTTTCTCTCTCTCTGTAGATATCTATAACACAAGTTTGAGTCAATGCAGGAAATCAACAGAACCAAAATCTCAGATACCAAGAAAGAGATGTTTTATAAACTAGAAGGGAATTCTTCCCCTCACTTTTGAGTATATGCTAACAAGCAAGCTAATACTATATTTACCTAGAAGGAAGATGACCTGGAATTTAAGACAATCCCACCTCCAAAAAGAAAAATAAGAGACAAAGAAACAACCAACCCAACCCCACCCTTATCTTCCCCCTGTTGTCTTCCTAGCATTGCCAATTCTTGCTGAAATCAATGTTGGAGATATTCCCTATACAACGTGTGTGTGTGTGCACGCACGCATGCACACGCATGTGTCTGTCTATCAGAAGTCATACTTTACAGAAAAGAAAATGTGAAACAGGGCCAGGAAAAAGTAAGTGTGTGTGTGTGTGTGTGTGTGTGTGTGTGTGTGTGTACCTGTATCTGCATGTGTATAATTAATACAAATACTGATCCCCATGATCAGGTATCAAACATTCTTTTTACATACAACATTTGTATTCCCCTTTCTCCTTCAAGCAAAAACAACAAAGGATTAAATTTACCAAGTAAACAACTAATCTTCTAAGTTAGCTGAACATTTCAGCAAGGTGGCTGCAGCCATTTATATTTCCACCCATTTTCAACAGCACCCCTCCCAATGTACTGCTCTGTTCAACCACTCATGTTATGGAATCACTCATTCAATTATTTCTTCAAACCATGTTATACCTCAAAAGGGTGTGTTGGTGTGGTTTAAAATATATATTACGTATCAAGTAGGTTCTCTGCCAAAACTGTCTGTCTGCAAAAGTCTTACAACATAAGACAAAAGTTTTAAAAGAGCTTTTTCTCAAGAACTGTGAGCAATTCTTTTTCTTTCTACTTTTTGTAAATTGGGTCAATTTTGCATGAACTATTTTTCACATTAAAAAAAAATACACCAAAAAATTGCAGTGAAAGCAAGAGAGATCAGTACTAATCTTTCTGGTTTTGACTGAGAGCAACCTGTATTTTCCGCATTAGTCTTTTAAAATAAATATGAGCCAAAACTTGGTGATTAGTTGATAAGCAGCTGCAACAGCACAATCACAGAATGTTTCTCCAAATGCACAATCTTTCATGTCTAATTTGTTTCAGTTCAAAAGTGCATTTGTGACTAGCTGCAGGCAAGCGGGAAACTGCGGCAACACATTTTATAAAGTGATGACAAGGCCCTCCCCGGGCCAAAGCTGGCCTCATATTTGCTTTAGTGAAATTCAGTTTGAGATTCCCTGGTTTTAATAACATCATGTAGATTTCTATTTCAATAAGTCTCTGGGGCACTTTTTGTTCTCTTCTCCTAAGCCTACTTTACTTTTTGTATTTCCAAAATAGTCTTCCCCCTTCCAACACTCTGCGAGATGGGGGGCACGGGTCAGGCAGAAGAGAGATTGCCTACAGAAATTGCTTGCCCCCCCCCCCGTAGAGTGGAGCAATTGGAGAGGAAGGGATTACAAGAGAGTAAACAGACACACAATGGAGAATACACTGTTTGCATAGCATGCTCATGGCTGCTGACACCAGCACACTGCTTTCAATTTGCATTCCCCAATACATGCCCACTTATTCTCTTGTATTCCCCACGGTGTGCTTGCTTACTCTCTTGTAAGCCCTTCCTCTCCAATTGCTCTACTCTATGATGCAGGGGGAAAAAAATGGGTCAGGCACAGGAGAGATTGCCTAGAGATTACTTGTTTAGGCAATCTGTCTACTCTACAAGGGGGGTAAAGGAAAAAAAATGGGTCACTCACCGGACATGTAACTGACTGTAATGGCAAACATGTGACTGAGAGAGAGACAATGCAAAGGTTGTAACTTTGAGCCTTGGTCTCAAAGTTATTTTTTTAGTACTATCATAACTTTGAATGGTCATTGCACAAGGCAGTCGGTAAGCAAGGTCTAACTGTACTTTCTTCTGATTCCTTAAAAGGCAAAAACACTCACCAATTCTGAGAAGCTATTTTAGAAATTCCTGAAGCCTTTCTTTTTCATATTTTGATTAAGGCTATATACAAAGCAAAATGGCCAGAACATATTGCATTTTTTGTAAAGGCTGCAGACTGTAGTCCAAATAGGATTACAAACAGGGCAATGTTAAAGTACTGCAAAGGTGGCTGCATTTACTCCTTTACAGAGTTATTTGAAGGTATCTGGAGAAGTGACTGGTCCAAGTCCAAATACACATGTAAAACCATAACAGCAAAAGTCCTTTAAGTTGCTTATTAACCTTACCTAGACTATCGACATTAAAGAGGTGGGAACACAGATCACCTGGTCACACTTTTTCTCACTGTGATAAATGAAGTGCATTCAACCTGAAAAATGCAATTACTTATAAAATTCCTTTATTCTCTTTTTTGCAACTGCACATTACTTCCCCTTATGATACTTTCAACAAAATTAAGTCTGCTGGGGTCTGAGCTTGGACACTATTTGGCAAATAGCTGAGCAAATGCAGAAGAAAAATTACTCACCCTCCTTGCAAAGCATGCACATTAGCTAGACCTGAGAAGTCTTTATGGTTGGCATTCAATTGCCTCCCTTGGATGACATGATTATTTTCATTGACATTTTGATAGCCCCTTGCTATGCTCTTCTTACTATTGGGGTAGGTTCCAGGATGGGTTGGGAAGCCATTCAGAGTTGTCTGACCGGACCTCCTATCTATATCTTCATGCTGAAATCCATCGCTTCGATTTTCAGACAAATTGGTAGGATTTTTAGATAGCTTGTATCCATGAGAAATCAGAAGGTCTTCTACGCTGAACATACTGCAGTGGCTTTATTTACCTCAGCATCTCTGGTGGGAGTCCTCATGAACTGGGCCCATCACTGAAAAAGAAGACAAAGAATTTCATGGGTACAGAAGTACTCAGCCCAACCTAAACAACAATCAGAGATCTCTTTCAAAATTCTTTGTACAATAATTAAATCTAAAGATCTGATTTAGAAGTCTAATTGGATTGTTTCAATATGCACGTGAGTAGGTTGCTTGTAATTCACCCATAATGAATTTAGGCTGAGAGCCAATAACTTGTTAACTAAAATCAAGATGCAATTTTAAGCCAACTGATCTTTGAAAAAATATATAGCAGTCAAGAGGTACAGTTCTCTTTAATGGTCTTATACTTGAATAAGGTGAAATACAGTTCACTATAATAGCTATTCCTCATGAATAAAGCAGAACCTTGAAGTACGTCTGAAAGGCCAAAAGCTGGCAGTGGTTCACATGTATAACCCAATATCAACCATATTAAATACCTTTCCTATCATAACCACATTTAAAGCTTGTACATCCATTGTGTGCCTTCTGCCATCAAATGTGGCCCAGTTTATTTATCACTGCACTGCTTCTATTCACCCTCTCCCAACCCAAACCACCTAGAAATAACTCATCACTGACTACAAAACAAGACTGCAGAAATGAGATAAGCTGTTGACCCCAAACTTGGTACACTGTTCTTCAATAAAATTTACCTTGTGAAATTTATTTATTGTGATATGGTTTATTGGCATGATAATCTTAGGTTTGAAAAGGATTGTTCATGACATCCATATGGATCTTTAAGGTGGATGAGCTATGCTTAAGTTCCAAAACACCCGGAACCATATTAGTAGCAAATGCAGCACAGAGTACAGAGGAGACCATTTCATATAGTGGGGAAAAACAGACTTGGTTGTATTTTAAACTATTTTAAAACAGATGGGGAAGTCCAGGATAGAAATTATTTTTTCATCCTGAATTATTTTTCAACCATGAACACCTGGAACTGGGCGAGGACTATGCAAGAAGAGAATGTGGGACAGCTGGTTGCTAGAACAATTCACTCTCAAAATAGAGGATCCATATGACAGCCATAAAACAGCAGAATAGCCACTGATGGGTCACAGGTGCAAGGAAGAATTCTGTTTTTCCTGGTGCTGCATAAACTCCAGGTACTAGTGGAACGTACAGCATCCATTTCCTGGCTAATAACACACCAGTGTCTGAGCAAAAATAGTACACAAGGCTCTCTTGACTGTTTCCTTTTTAAAAGTGGATTTGGCTATGGAAGTGAATAGACAAAGTGTAAAGCAAGCAAAGCGGTCCTCAGATTTTGTTCATATTCTTCAAAAAAACAGTCTTTCTTTCCTTAGCCGAGAAATGTGTAAAGCATCCTTTCTTGATTTTGGTATCCCAAAATCAAATAGGCTTGCTGGCTGGAGATGATGGATATGTGTTAATTTACCCTAGAGGACACCAAGCTGGGAAAGGCTGATATATGCAAAATTTTTTGGAAAGCACAAACAGTTGTAATGTAGTTTGTGTATTACTGTACAATGAGCGGGGACCAACCTATATCTTCGAAGTTACCATATACTTCTTATACAATAAGACTTAAGGAAAAATGGTTACCATGCCTGAAAGGACAAAACACAGACCAATACTGCAGCATAACCCAAACTAGTTATGTGGCTAGTATAACGTAGCTGCTCACTTACTTGTTTACTCCCTGCATTTCTATACTGCTCAATAGCCCAAATTCTCTCTGCACTTCATAAAAGTTGAAATCAGAAAAAGCATCAGTATAATAAAACAATGCAAAATAATGTACTTGTTTTGCTTGCTCCCTTATTCTGTCTGTATATTTAAAAATAGCTTTTACAAAAAAATATTTCTACTTCTCAGTAGAAATAACATTTTCCCAGAATTTTGTACAACCTAGGAAAAATGGGGAATAACATACAAAACAGTCAGCATAGATGGACATTTCCCACTATGGCTAAGAGACAGACCAGAGTGCATAACTTTCAAAACAATATTTAAAGATTGTTAGAACAACAGAATTTGAGCATGCAGACTCCTAATTTGATGCAACAAGGTTTTTTTTTTAAAGGATGGAAAACTCTGTATTTTCCTGGAGCAGCTTTGTTTTGCTTGTCGGTGAGGTCACAGATTTCAGAGATTTCACTTCCTCAGGATGTTGGCTATCTTCCCAGAATTTCCGATTTGTGAGGGTTCAGCCACAGCAGTGTTACAGAAGCCTAAGCTAGGCCCTCTCTGGCCACCTGTATCTGCACTGGCCATAATCTCCTAAGGACGCTTGCTCATGCAGTCCTTGCAGTAGAGAGAGAAAGAGAGATCACTCTCTCTCAATGGATGTCTTTGGTCTTTCTCATACAACAGAACGTACATACCACTTTGAATATTTGCTAGAGTGGAAAGGCAGGGCTTAAACTGAATAAACAAATGAACAACCTACACTATAGATTACTGGTTTCAAAGAGCAGTCATTGTTGTGAAGGATCAGACATATTCCTATCCAGCCTTCCCAACAGAGGATTGGAGATGGAGCAGCAATCAGCATCAAGTCCACAGGCGCAGAAGGAGTGCGTGCAATCCTCCTCTCAAAATCATGCTTTGCTTTTCCAGAATGATCAGTCAATGGCCATGGTGACCCATCCCTTAGTTTCATATAAATTGGACAACTGCAATTTATCTATTTGCTACCATCTTTGTTGAGTCTTCAGAAACTTCAGTTGAATTCAGAATGCAGCAATAAGAATGCTCAATGGGGCTCACAGGAAGGACCATGTTACACTGACTCTGAAATGGTTACCAGTTTGTTTTTGGACACAGCTGAAAATACTTGTGATGACTTTTGAAGTCCTAAAAGACTTAGGTCTAAGATACCTTATGGACTGATGCCTTCCAATCATATCACCTGCCTGTATCATTCCGGTATATGATGGAAAGGCTCTTCTCTGTGTCTTTGCTGGGGCATAGCACAATCCATAAAGCCGCAGAAGGGACATTCTCCCTCCCTTAGAAGGCTACAGGTGACACACTCTCTCACAATCTTTTGCAAACTGGTTAGCATCTTCCTATTTAGGAAGCATTAATTCCACAGGCAGTTCTTTCTTAATGTTCTTAGCCATGTTTAGTGGTGGGCTATAGATTTTTTACATTTCCCCTTTTAAAAACCGATCTGTAAGTTGAGAGATTCAGCATCATGTGTATTTCAGCCACATCAATCATCAGTCTCTGGTCTATAGACCCAAATGCATGTATAATGCACAGCCCTCAAATATTACATTTATTTCTTGTTAGATTTATATCCTGTCTTTACTCCAGCATCTCAAGGTGGCATATATAATATTTCCTCATCCATTTTTTCCCCACAACAATAACTGAGATTCATTGAGTTGAGAGAGAGTGACCGGCTCAAATTTACCTTGAGATTTCTATAGCTCCTGAGGAGCCAAACACGAAATACCTTAAGCAGTAGGCCACTCTGATTTTCAGCTCACGTTTCCCTCCTCTACCACTCCCATGTGTGAGCTATTACCTTCACAACTCTTTCAGTTCAATGATATTCCCACTCAGAATGATTATCAGCTCCTGACCACCTCTCTGTGTGCTCTAAATCCTCTCCCATTTTCTACTTCTTCCCTTTCATTAGGGCTTCAGTGGCATGGAAGCTCATCCTTACTTGCCCCTTCCTGCTTATCTTCATTAAAATCTCAGCATCTTGCAAAACAAAAGGCTGACAAGCACAGGACACTCTTTCCACCTCTTTTCCAGATGCAGTTAAATATTTTTAAAACAAACTATCTAGTCCAACTATAACAGATTTAAAAGTTCAAAAAACAAAAAAAATGATCAGCATCAAAATATAATTTCTTCATTTTTAATGATGCTGACCATTGGAGGACTGCATTCTGACTAAGGAAACAAGCTAAATTTGTTCTTGTACAAAATGAGGGAAGGGGGAGATGAAGGAATGCTAGTGCAGTGTTCACTGGCATTCCATATAGAAGTTGTCACAGACTTCTTGAGTACTTGGCACGGCAGGGTGTGCGTTTCCTCAAAGCACATTCCTCTTTTCATAGGTTTTCCACTGCACATGAAAATGAATGTTAATCAGAACCTCAAAGTGAACGCAGTAAACCAGCTACGCTGTTCTTTCATATCAATGAGGGATGGACACTATTTTCTCTTAAACAACATTAAGAGACAGACTGGGAAGAAACATCAGAGGAACTTAAGTGAAAGTGTAAAGAATTTGGTGAACAAAGCAATTAAAATAAAAACTCAAAAGCAACCATGGCAGGATCTATTCTGAGATAATGGTATAAAGGAGGAGAATGTATCACTTCCTCTGCTGCTATTTGCCCTTAAGCTACTAATAGCAGATGGAGTGGGGAACTCTTAGCAGAATCCACTTATAAGAACCAAACAAGAACAGTGCCAGATGAACTTCTTGGGACATAACATTAAATGCAATTCAAATTCAGTGCTTGAGATCGCCTGTATTAAGAAATTACAAATTGCCACCATTTGCCATGGTGGAGCCTATATTTGATTGTGGGACATAATTAGTTTAATTGATTTGGGCTCATGTTTCAGAGTCAGACCCCCAAAATAACAGACTACTTCTGTAAAGCATCCTTCCAAAAACTACCCAGTTGTGTTGGAGTTAAACTCCCATGACTAAACTGGCTGCAGGATTAGTTTGTATCTGACTTGTTTGGAGGGAATCAGGTTAGGAAAATCAGCTGCAAACTATTACGTGGGCATTCAAACTGCAAAGGTATCTCTAGTTAGTACCAGACCCAAACAAGATCAGATGGAGTTTGCATGATAAGCGACAAGAAAGGAACATGTGCCTTGGCAAAACAGAACGACTGACCATTCTGATTACTGCAAGATTGATCAACTATTTGGTCTGGGTTTAAGAGGAAAGGTGGGAAAGCCTGGAGTCTTTCAAAGCCTTGGCATTTGGGATGTAGACTGGGCTGAAGTGTACTGTCTGCTGGGCAAAGTTTAGACAGTAGACACTAGCGGGACC